GGATACAATATATCTATTTTGTTTTTTTATTTATTTGATATATACATACATACATATATATATATATATATATTTTTTTTTTTAGTTGTAGTTGGGCACAATACCTTTGTTTTGTTTATTTTTTATGTGTTACTGAGGATCAAACCCAGTGCCTGGCATGAGCTAGGCAAGTGCTCTACCACTGAGTTACAACAATAGATATTTTTGAAGAAATGACAAAATCCAATCTTTTAAAAATTCTGAGTACTTCAGGAATAGAAAGCAGGTTTCTCAATCTGATAAGTCCATCTATGAAAAACTTTATACAGTTGAAATATTAATAGTGAAAAGATTGAGTGCTTTCTCCCAACTATTGGGAATGGAGGAAGAATGTGTGGTTTCATCACTAAGAACTGTGTACAGTCACTTGTGTGTGTAGTTCCAGTAGCCAGTAACCAGAATGCTTTGGCAGGAGGGCTACTTGAGCCCAGTAGATTGAGAAGACTAGTCTGAGTAACAAAGCAAAGCTGTGTTTCAAAAAAACAAAAACAACACAATCCCCAAAACAACAGACTGAAGATCCCAGCCAGTGTGGTAAGGATTAAAGAAAGACATCCAATGTGATAAGGAAAAATTAAAATTGGCTTTGTTTATAGATAGGAAGATCCTGATCAGTGTATAAAACAGCCAGTAAAATCATTAGTTTAGTTAAGATTGTGTAGCACACAGTCAGTATACAACATATAAGCAACAAACAACTAGCAATTGAAATTTTTAAAAATACAACTTACAATAACATCCAAAGAAATAAAATAGTTAAGGATAAATTTGACAAAAAAATGCATATGATGCATATTCTGAGAACTTTGTTTCATTCCTATCTATGTTCACTCTTGTGCCTAAAATAGAGAGTAAATATTTGATAAATATTTGATTAATAGATGAATAAATTAAGGTACATGGGGAGGTTTTTAGGGAGCATCTATTTGACTATTATTTTGAGTTACTGTCTTTGTGAGGGAATAAATTTTGTTTGGCATTGCTTCAGTGATGAACTTCTATTGCCTAAAGCACTTAAAATCTTAATCTTATTTTTTGTTAAGCTATCTGTGAAACAGAGCCTGAGCAGCCTGTTCGACATTACCCATTGTGGGTGAAAGTAGAAGGTGAAGTAGATCCGGAGCCAGTTTATATCCCAACACCCTCAGTCATTGAGCCTATGAAACCATTATTGTTGCCTCAGCCAGAAGTATTATCTACTACTGTGAAAGGCAAACTGCTCACTGGAATTAAACCTTCACGGGCATATACTCCCAAGCCCAATCCTGTGGTAAGTGTGCCTGGAGTTTCGTTTCTTTCTTTCTTTCTTTTTTTTTTTTTTGCAAGTTACAAAAGTCATTTTTGGTTTATATTCTGTGAGCAATTTTTGCTTTTTAATGGGTTTGTAAGACATTGTCTTTTTTTGTTTAATCAGTTTTTTAGTTGCTGAAACTTTTTAAATGTCATAAAAATAGAAATGAATCAGTGATTCTTAAAGATAGGCATGTTTTTCTTCAAGAAGTTCATGGAAAGCTGGGCTTTTTACATGACTTGCAAAGTCTTTTAAAGATACTGTTATTCCAGTAGTATAAACTATTGTGTAATTGAGACACAAAATGCTAGAAAATGTAGAAAAATATTAAGAAAAGCCTTTTAAAAGCAAATTTTTAAATAGTAATAAAAGTTCAGATTTAAAGTAACAGTTGATATAATGTGTATCTGTGAAGATGGATAGGGAAAAGTAAGACTTCCCAGTCCACTCATTTGAAAAAGAATCCTCTACAGTGCAACACAATATAACACAGCATACATGGTTTCTGTACTAGTGGTGGTCTAAAACTTTGTTACTGGTCTGTGATGAAATAAATATAAGAACAAATCTTTGAGCCATGCATGCCTTTAATCCCAATGACTCAGGAGACTGAGGCAGTAGAATTGCCATTTGAGGTCAGCCTCAGCAACTTAGACCCTCACTCAAAATAAAAAGGGCTGAGAATGTGGCTCACATTGTTAAAGTACCCTTGAATACAATCCCCAATTTCAAAGGGGGAAAACAAACAACTTCTACAGCAAGTTGATTAAGGTTAATCTATTATATTGAAAAATTTGAGCTTGCAGTAATTTTACATGTCTTTTATTTATTTATTTTAATTGTAGTTGGACACAATACTTTTATTTTCTCTATTTATTTTTATGTGATGCTGAGGATTGAACCCAAGTGGTAGGCGAGCGCTCTACCTCTAAGCCACAACCCCAGCCCATAATGTCTTTTATTTTTCTATTTTTTTGGGGGTAGGGTAGGGTAGACACTGAGGATTGGACACAAGGCACTCAACCATTGAGCCACATCCACAGCCCTATTTTGTATTTTATTTAGAGATGGGGTCTCTCTGAGTTGCTTAGTACCTCACTATTGCTGAGGCTGGCTTTGAACTGATCCTCCTGCCTCAGCCTCCTGAGCTGCTGGGATTATAGGCATGCCCAGCTCTAGTAATTTGTTTTATTGTACTCTATCAGTCTGTGTTTGACTGGTGATTAACAAATGTGTATTTTAGCACAGATGACTTGAGAAGCACTGCTCTGGTGTAATCTGAAATTTCCTGATACTGAATGAAATCTTTCTGATTGCCCCAAGATTTAGCACATACAAATTGTACTTACACTGTTTAATTTTAAAGCTTGCATTTAAAAATTTCAGCTGATGGAATGGAAACACAGATTGAATATTTGTCTTCATTTAGAGTATAGGAGACTTTTTTTTACTATTGTATCAGATGTTTTGATATATAAAACTTGCAGATAAGGGAAGAGGACAAAGATCCAGTCTATTTGTACTTTGAAAGTATGATGACTTGTGCCCGTGTTCGAGTATATGAACGAAAAAAAGAGGAACACAAACAACCATCCTTGTCTCCATCCTTGTCTCCATCACTTCAGCAGCAGAACTCATGTCATTCTAGTCCTGGGAACCATAGTTCAAAGGTGATTACTTGTTACACAATTGTTTTTAAACTTTTAATTCCTTGTTGCTGGTATTAGAACTTGAATTACTATCAGAATGATTAGAATTTTCATGCTACAAGAATAATTAATGTACTCAAGACTTACATGACATGTAAATTAATTTATTTTTCTCCATACATTGGTGTTCTATACCTTAGGGTTACTAAAAGTATTATTTTTCTGACCTTGGAGTAAATAAAACACAACACAAATACTTCTGGGTTTAATTAAATTATTTATCTGTAATTAGTAAGATTTATGTCTTCCCACACTGATGAATTTTTTAAGTAACTGAAGCTTGTTCTGTTAAACCTAAAATATTTTCCTTCTTCACTAGAATAACTGTAGAGTACAATGCACATGACAACGATGATGGCGATGATGTTTTTTTGTTTTGTTTTGTTTTATTTTTGGTGGTGGTGGTGCTGGCGATTAAATCCAGGGCCTCAAAGGAGCTATACCACTGAGCAATATTCCCAGGCCCTGATAATTTTTTCTTGATGACAGTCATTATTAAAAACATTAGAATAAGACTACTTGTTTTTTTCCCCCAGGATTCTATATGATAGTAATGTAGTTGTGTGTTCAGTTGGGAAGCTTTTTCACTAAAGGATCTGACCAGAACAATTATAAAGAAGGAAAAGTTTATATGAGGGCTCATGGTTTCAGAGGTCTTAATTCATAGAAGGCTGCCTCCATTTCTCAGAGCTTGAGATGAGTTGAATATCATGGTGGATGTGTGGCAGAGGGAAGCAGAGGGAAGCAGCTCACATCATGGTGAAGAAGCAGAGAGAACTCCACTTGCCAGATATAAATATATGCCCTAAACCCCACTTCCACCAGGCACACCCTACCACTTCAGTTACCACTCAGTTAATCCCTCTCAGAGGATTAATTCACTGAGTGGGTTAAGATTCTCACAACCCAGTCATTTCTCCCCTGAACCATCTTGCATTGTCTCACAACTAAGTATTTCTGTGTTATTTCCTTCCTTAGGAACCTGATTCTGAACAGCAACCCTTAAAACAACTCATTTGTGACTTGGAGGATGATTCTGATAAATCACAAGGTCAGAATCGTAGTAGTTACTGGTAATTATATATGTCTGGATTATATAATGGCAGAAAACCAAAACTAGCAATCCAGAGTATGTCACTTACCCTTTTTCTGGTTTCTGCCAAAAATAGAGATTAATAAGTAAGCATCTTATTTTTTGTTTGTTTGTTTTTTGTTTTGTTTAATAATTCTCAAAAATAAAATTTATTCATATTGATGTGGTATGTTATGAGAGACTTTTAGAGATGAGGTCAATTAAATTTTTTTTTTTTTTTTTTAGCTCTCCTTACCAAACCTTAGCAGTATTGGCATTATGTCACCATGGATAGAAATATATTGGGGAGTTGAATGAAATCTTTCTGATTGCCCCATTATTTAGCATGTCAGAGCATGTTTCAGAGCAAACTTGCAAGTATTTTTGTTTTGCCCAGTGAATAGCAGAGTAGTAACCTAAGCCAAATAATCAACCTTGGCTATAGGTCTTGCTTTGTTTGCAAGCTAGCACTTCTTAGATAATAGTTAAGGCCTCTTAGAGTAATGTTAAGGGAACTTCCTTTTTATCAGAGGATAGTGAAAACAATTTTGTGAGATCTTTCTTCTTTTTGAAAAACTCCCAAATTATGAATGTTAAACTTACATATTAGGTTACCCCTGGAAAGTATATGGGAATAGAACATTGAGAAATTGTTGAATATCTTTTAAAAGTCCAGTAGTACAGAATTGCTGTGATTCAGAAAAATTTTTCAATTTTTTTATCAGAAAAGAGCTGGAAATCTTCCTGCAATGAAGGGGAATCCTCTTCTACCTCTTACGTGCATCAAAGGTCACCTGGTGGTCCCACCAAACTGATAGAGATCATCTCAGACTGCAACTGGGAGGAAGATCGAAACAAGATTTTGAGCATCTTATCCCAGCACATCAATAGCAACATGCCACAATCACTTAAGGTGGGCAGCTTCATCATTGAGTTGGCTTCTCAACGAAAGAGCCGGGGTGAGAAGAACCCTCCTGTTTATTCTTCTCGTGTCAAAATCTCTATGCCATCATGTCAAGATCAAGATGATATGGCTGATAAATCTGGATCAGAGACTCCTGGTGGTCCATTGTCCCCTGGGAAAATGGATGATATCTCTCCTGTGCAGACAGATGCTCTGGATTCAGTGAGGGAGAGATTACATGGAGGCAAAGGTCTGCCTTTTTATGCAGGGCTTTCTCCTGCAGGGAAGCTTGTGGCCTATAAGCGTAAACCCAGTTCAAGCACATCTGGGCTTATCCAGGTGAGAATTATCTTTAATCTGGACATAGCAACTTTTTGTATTTAGGTGACATCTTAATTTTTTTCAGAGCCCTTACTGGGCCTTAAGTCCTTTACCTTCACATTTCCTGGTAACTGGGTATCAAAATCATTATCCCTTTTTCTAATAGGTCAGTTAGATGCATACCTACAGTGAATTTTTGGAACATTTATACACAGAAACAGAGCCTTGTATTATTAGATTTTTCTTTCTGTTCTTTTCAAAAAGATATTCTTAAACTTTATTGCATAGACTCTAGTGATATTTTGAGAACCAAAGATAGGAATTTAATCTAGTTTTTAAAATTTATTATTACCATACAGCTTTCAATACGAATCTCTTGTTTAGAATGTTAAGGCTAGTAAAGGGAAGATAATGAACTTGACTTTCAGACAGGCAGTTGGCAGTATATATTTAGAAACTTGGAGATATTTTATCTTGTTTTTGTGGTGCTAGGGATTGAATTTGGTGCTCTATCTGTGAGTCATGTCTCTATTCCTGGGGAAAATTTTAATTTATGAGAAATTCAAATACATAGAATTAAAAAAAATGAGTCATATATTTTTCTTTGATTTGTAAGGTTTTATCAGTGTAGTCACTTTAGGACAAATATATGTATCCTTGCTGTTCAGTAATTCATGAAGAATAAATTTGTAAAATTATACCAACATCTAGGAAATCCTTGGGAAGAGAAGTTCCAAATGAAAATGTTAGTCATTGTCAAGGTTTTCTTCTTGCTCAGTGGTATAAAACATATTTTTATAAGGGTAGAAAATGTATGCAAGTGTCCCATGTTATTGCTAAGGTTACTCAACTTTGGACTAAGGACTGCTCCATTAATATATAACTGGTCTACTTTAAAAAAAATTATTGTAGTTTACTCTTGCTGGTGCTATATCATTGCTTCTGTTGGTATTTCTTAAACTCTTAATGATGGAGAGAATGATATTTCTCTTTTCATTTATTGATTGATACTTTGGGAATAGTGACTTAACTGAGATTTCTAATAAGACTCCCTGAAATATAGGCATAGAGATTTTATGTTCTCTCCTGATCAGGACTTCCAAAGCCACCATAGAGTGTCATTTGAATAAGCAGTCAAGCAGTTTATAATATATGTTGAGCATCCTTAACCCAAAAAATGTAAAATTCAAAATGATCCAAGAGCCAAAACTTTGAGCATTGACATGACCCCATAAATAGAAAATTCCATACCTGACCTCATGTTGTAAGAGGGCAAACATACTAAAAATATTGTATAAAATTAATTACCTTCAGACTGTGAACACAGTTTAAGGTGTATATGAAGCATAAGTCAATTTTTTATTTAGATTTCGGTTTCATCCCCAAGATATCTCATTACATATATATGCAAATATTTTAAAGTCTAAATTTCAAAAACACTCCTAGTAGTCACTAGCATTTTCGATAAGGAATATTTAATCTATGTAGACTTTGGGGAAGCTGCTGAGTAGTCTTAAGCAGTCCCAACAGAACAGGCAGGACTGTCTGACCTAGATGCCACATAGCCTGAAAATCTGTACTAAAGTTTACTTTGGGATGGAGAGATCATGTTTTTTGTACTAAACTTGGATATTCCTGATCTCTCTGGGAATAATCACAATTTACCTAAGTAACAAAGAGTAGTTTTATTTTGCATCTTGGAAAATAGAATAGTTTGCTCTAGCTATCCTCCTTACTAATTTCCTATTAAGAGAGTAGATTCTACCTCAGTCCACCCTCTGTCCACCACTTTTTTCTTTTTTTGGTACCAGGGGCACTTAGCCACTGAGCCATATCCCTGCCCTTTTTATTTTGAGACAGGTTCTCACTAGTTAGTTAGGGCCTCACTAAGTTGGTGAGGCTGGCTTTGAACTTGGAATCCTCCTGCCTCAGCCTCCTGAGCCACTGTGATTACAGTGTATGCCACTGTGTCCTATCCCCCGCTTGATAAAAAGAAGTCATAGAAAAGGTTATTTCCTCTAGAGTCACCAGTAATGTGACCTAGAGAACATGGGTAAGAAAAATGGGAGGTTTTTGTTTTCTTTCCTTTAAAATAAAAAAGGGCCAGACATGGTGGCATATGCCTGTAATTCCAGCAGCTAGGGAGGCTGAGGCAGAAGGATCACAAGTTCAAAGCCAGCCTCAGCAACTTAGCGAGTTCCTAAGCAACTTAGCAAGACTCTTGTCTCAAAATAAAAATAAAAAGTTCTATGTATGTAACTCAGTGGTAAAGTGCCTCTGAGTTAATTCCCCAGTTCCAAAAAGAAAAGAAATAAAAATTTTAAAAAAGGAAAGAAGCAAACAAAAAACAAACAAACAAAAAACACTATATCTCTGTCCAAGATGGGCAGTGTAATCAACTCAGCAGAGAAAATCTGTGCCATATTTGCTTTGTTGGTTTACCATGTCTGATAATTTTCTGACTGGGTCTAGAGTTACATTGAGTTTTTACCAGCATTTGTTTTGAGCCCATATTTTGTCCAAAATATGAAGACAACATCTTCAAATTTGAGCCTTTTGATAACCAAAAACTGAAGTGACTTTGTAGCTTAGGTTATTGTATCAGTGGTTGTCATAACAACTTAAAGTAGATTTATCATATATATTTCAAATATAAAGGATGCTGGAAAAGACCCTTATTTCAGGGCCTCATTATTATTCTCTGGTCAGAGAGAGGATTCTGTGGAAGACAGAATTTTTCTGATGATTGTTAACCATTTTTGCTGATGATTGTTAATAGCTTAATTAATTTTTTAAATTAAAATAAAACAATTGCATGATTCTTCGGACACATTCCTGTGACTTTCCTATATCTAGGATGCAGAAGTGATGAGTTTCTAAGATTCTCTGTTTCTGTACTACAAAATGAAGAAAATGGAATTAGTTCTGAATACCAGATAATGGCATTTTTCTACTTCCCTATTACTCAGATTGTCCTGAATAGAAAAAGCCCACTTCTTTTTTTCCCCTTCACATCTGAAAAGTAGACTTTTAAAACCTTGTAAAAATGAAACCCCTGTCAAGGGAGAAGAGTTAGCAAGAGAATTTTATCTTTACAGAATTTCTCTTTGCCACTTGTTTCAGGTTAATGGTAAGAGTTACCCGCAGGCTAAGTTGCTATTGGGACAGATGGGGGCATTGCATCCAGCCAATAGGCTAGCTGCTTATATCACAGGCAGGTTGCGACCCTCAGTCCTGGACCTCTCAACCCTCAGTACTGTCATCTCCAAGGTAGCATCCAATGCCAAGGTGGCTGCATCCAGGAAACCACGTACCCTGTTGCCTTCTACATCCAACTCCAAAACGACATCCTCCTCTGGCACTACCACAAATCGTCCTGGGAAGAATCCGAAGGCATTTGTCCCAGCAAAAAGGCCAATTGGTAAGTTGGAGAGTACATATAGCTTGGAAAGGATTATAACTTAGTGCTTGATCAGTTATTACAGGTGTGAAGACTGTTAAAATTAGAAAAGGACAGGATTTGGCATAATTATTATTGATGTCTGTGTTACCTGAATCTGTTTTTTTTTTTTTTTTGTAAACTCTTCTGATGGCTTATGATTCTAGATGAATTAGAGTCTAGTTACTAGTTACTGTTAGGATTATTTTTGAGTCTTCTACATATTAATATAGAAAAGACGTGATTTAATTTTTTAAAAAATATTTTCTCTAGTATTTTTCCTGTAAGGATGAGGGGTTTTGGCATCAATCAAATTTATGTTCCTTGATCTTAAGATTTCAAGAAGCTAGAAAAATTAGAGAGTTGGGTTAGTATAGGCTCAGAGTAGAAAGTTTTTTTTTTATATAAAACATGGTTTTCAAAATGTTACATTGTTCCATACATCCCTGTTTTGTGAACCTTTATTTTGCTCAACATTTCATTTCTAGAGTATGTAATAAATTGCCTTCTAGAAGCACTTGTTTTAGCATTTAGAGAATTCCTCCTTTCTTTTGTTTCAAATCTATTTAGGAATTTTAAGTAAAAGTGTCAATTGTGTCTTCATTCTTATTCCTCTAACAGGAAATTGAAATATCTGGCTGAAGGCTGGAGTTGTGTGAAGATAGAGGATAGGCATTGTATGCCTTAAAAAGAACCTATTTTGCCTCCTTTAAAAAAACAACTTTAATTGTGATTTTAAAACAACAACAACAACAACAACAACAAAAATGCAGCCCTGTCCTGCACTCTGTTGAAAAAATATCTATGCATTTTAAGAATATGCAGTACTTAACTGTCCTATTCATAAGAGACAGCCTTAAAGAGGTGGAGGTGCTGGTATAGGAGGAAGTGGTGGAAATAAGTTTTAAAATTAGGATTAGGCAAAAAAATCCTCTTCTTACTTTCTGTTTTAGGTGGTGAAGTTTTACTGCTGTATTGTCTTTTTAGTGTCCTGACGAATTGAATATTTTGCATAGCCAGAGAATTTTAATAGGAACACTCAGTTTTAATCCCTTTCTTGTTGGAATTATCTGCCATTGTTTTGGATTGAGGGAAGTGTTTTGATTTCTGTGGGTGGAAATTGGCACATATAATACAGGTAGGTAGTACCTGTAAGAAATTGACCCAGTGGTGCACAATTAATGTTGATAAGCACAGTCACTAGGAGGGTAAAATAAGAGAACTGAAGATTTTTGACCTGCAAATTTTTATTTGCAGCGGCTCGACCCTCTCCTGGTGGTGTGTTCACACAGTTTGTGATGAGTAAAGTTGGAGCCTTGCAGCAGAAGATACCTGGAGTTAGCACACCCCAACCCCTGACAGGGTCACAGAAGTTCAGTATCAGACCTTCTCCAGTAATGGTCGTCACACCTGTGGTTTCTTCTGAGCCAGTTCAGGTGTGCAGTCCCGTGACTGCTGCTGTCACTACTTCCACCCCTCAAGTGTTTTTAGAGAATGTTACTGCTGTGACATCTATGACTGCTATTTCTGACGTGGGAACTAAAGAAACTACTTATTCTTCTGGTGCCACCACTGCAGGGGTTATTGAGGTCTCTGAAACTAATACCAGCACCCCTGTAACATCTACCCAGTCTACAGCCACTGTGAACCTTACCAAAACTACTGGGATAACTACCCCTGTGGCTTCAGTTACTTTTCCTAAGTCTTTGGTAGCATCTCCTCCAACCATAACTCTTCCTGTTGCTTCCACTGCCTCCACCTCCATAGTCATGGTGACCACAGCTGCGTCTTCCTCCATGGTGACCACACCTACTTCATCTCTGGGTTCTGTTCCTATTATACTCTCAGGAATTAATGGGAGTCCACCAGTGAGCCAGAGACCAGGTAAGGCCTAATTATTACTAGTTTCTTAACTATATAGTTGTTTATGTAATTTTGCAGCTGGGGATAGGATCTTTCTGTCTGTCTGTCATCTGTCTCAGGATAACCATGTAGGTGTTTTCTGCTATGAAATTTGAGTGTATTTCTGAAAATATTTGCATTCTGCAAAACTGAACATTTTAAAATAATAGAGCTCATGGTTAATGCAGTTAGATCACTGAAAATATATAATTTTGTAAGCAAAACACTGCAAAAACAACTTATTCCTTGGGAGATAATCAGTAGAACTTAGTGGGCCTGCAGGTTGTCTCAGGAGATAACAAAAAAACTCTTGAAAAAGATTAAAATAGAAATGCTGGCTGAAGGACACCGAAATAATGTAGATGAGAGTGGAGCTCTGGGCCACTAGAGCAGTCATTAAGGTGAGCATGGGAGAAAGTACAACCTACTATGTGACATGCTGAGATCTAGGAGTACATATCCTTAAGAAGGGAACCATATGTACAGGAGCTCTTTTTTGAAGTGTGTGTGTGCTGCATTTTAATTTAAAAAACTGAAATGAAAGGGCTTCTGCCTATGCTTTATCCAAGCTGAGGGCTTTTTTTTTTTTTCTTTTTTGAAGATTAAAATATACTCTTGCTGGGTGTGGTGACACATGCCTATAAATTCCAGCAACTTAGGAGGCTGAGATAGAAGGATTGAAAGCCTCAGCAATTTAACAGGGCCCTAAGCAACTTAGCAAGACCCTGTCTCAAAATAAAAAGGGATGAGGATTTGGCTTAGGCACACTTGAATATACTCCTGCTATTCTAGCTCTTTTTACCTAGCAAAAATCATTTTTATTTATTTTATGTGGCTCTGAGGATCGAACTCTGTGCTTCATGTGTGCCAGGCAAGCGCTCAACCACTGAGCTACAACCCCAGCCCTCATATTTTAAATTCTAAACTTCTTAGTTAAAATTTTCCTCTTGTTGGCTTAGGTTAAACAAATTCATAATAGGAATATTGTGTGCTTTGGTATATTTTATATCCAAATGCAACTACATAAAGTAAGTGATTCTTTTAGTCTCTTCAGAGAAGAATTAATGTATACAAAAATGAGAAACTTTGCAGAATTCAAGGGAAATAACTACCCAATATCAGTATATTGCTCTGAGTCCCATTTGTACTATTTTTTAATATTTATTTATTTATTTTAGTTTTAGGTTGACACATTGTCTTTATTTTATATTTATGTGGTGCTGAGGATTGAACCCAGTGCCTCATGCATACTAGGCGAACACTCTACCACAGAGCCACAACCCCAGCCCCCCCTTTGTACTATTTTAAAAATTATTATTTTAATTAACTACTTTTTAATTTAAATGTGTTTTTAAGAGACCAAACTGAGTGGAAGTCAATGTTATTTGCCAAAAGACAGGTTGACCTCATAAACAAGTAGTAAATAAAATATATTAATAAATTCGAATATTTACTGTATGTTCTGTGCTTGTGACATCTCTTTCTGTTGATGAAGAGAGCTAGAAAATACTGAAGTCATTTTTTAAAGATAAAATATCTAAGATTGTGGGGCTGTGGCTCAGTGGTAGCGCACTTATCTGGCATGTGTGAAGCACTGGGTTCAGTTCTCAGCACCACATATAAATAAATAAAGATCTATCAACAACTTAAAAAAATCCAAGACTGGTACTTTCTTATGTATATAATCAAAAGGTTAAAATTGAAATGGGAATGGCTTTTCTATCAGTGTGATACAGTGTTACTTTATATTCGTATATCACTTAAAGAAATAGTGATTCTATTTTATTTTTTGGTACTGGGAATTGAACTTAGGAGCACTTAACCACTGAGCCACTTCCCCAGCCCAAAATAGTGATGTTAATAAATTTTCTTATCTCTTCTATAAATATAGAGAACTCAGGTAACTGCTAGTTCTAAGGAAGTGGACATTTTATTCTCAGTTCATAAAGAGCATATCAAGTTGGATATTTTGATTGTCTGTTTTTTTCGTTTGACTTATGTTTTTCTCTTTCCCTGCTCCTCACCAACATTTAAGTAAATTATCACATTTTCAATGGGTATAAGAAAGATTGCTTTCATTCTCTCAATTGAGGTAATTTAGGTTTTGAATCACTCTAAAAATAAATTTGAAAAGTTTGAGAAATTGTATTAACATTTTCTTAATTCATGTAAGATAGGTAAATGTTTTTTGTTTAAATTGCACAGTATTATTTTCATGAAAAAACTGGTCTTTGTTTTATTTCATTTTTAGAATAGTCCTAGATTTTTTTGTGTTACAGTTTATCATCTAAATGTTATGAGCATGGGGCCAGGTGTGGTGATGCACACCTATAATCCCAGTGGCTCAGGAGACTGAATCAGGAAGATCACAAGGTCAAAGCCGGCCCCAGCAACTTAGGAAGGCCCTAAGCAACTCAGAGTGACACTGTCTCTAAATAAAATATTAAAAAGGGAAAGGCTGGGGATGTGGCTCAGTGGTTCAATGTCCCTGGGTTTACTCCTTAGTATAAAAGAGTTATTAATATGATTTTCTCTTAGAATTTTAATGTTTTGTGTGGACACAATGCATATCTGATAGAAAATCACATTAAGCCAGAAATTTTGGGGTTTAATTTTTTTCCTTTATTGACAGACTATTAAATTTTTTACAGATTTATAAAACAAAGGCAAATAAGTTCACCAATTTGAATGATATCATTTGTTTTAAAACTGTCTTTTCCCTCTTGTCAGGCTTTATTTATCTCTCACTCTTTTTCTTTTTATTTTTTTAGTTTAGATGGATACAATACCTTTCATTTTATTTATTTTTATGTGGTGCTAAGGGTACCCAGGGTCTCAAAAGTGCTAGACGAGTACTCTACCACTGAGCTATGACCCCAGCCTTTACCTGTCTCTTTGATGTCTTTTAATTTAACATGAATCCAAATTTAGGGGCATACCCTGGTTGTCATTAGGCAAAAGCAATATCTCTATAAAAGTACCTCTTGACAGTTAATGCCTTTTTTTTTTTTTTTTAAATCATTCTGGGTTCTCTTGTGGGGAGGTGATAGGGATTGAACTCAGGGCCTTGTGCTCATAAGGCAAGCACTCTACCAACAGAGCTATATCTCCAGTCTTTTAATCATTCTGAATACAAAACTCTTGACAATGTCTGGTTAGTTACTTGAGTTTAAAACAAATTCCTCTCAGCCATAAAGAGTGTATTATAGAGGGACAAGATTTTTCCAATTTTATAATTCAAATTAGAAGTTGCTTGTAGCATTGTCAGATCCTGTATTTGTTGTCATAGCTTTTTTCCTTCATATGTTGAGGAGAATTCTGATATTATGTTTCTGTTTTGTTTTTTAGAAAGTGCCCCTCAAATTCCAGTGGCTACTCCACAGATCTCTCCTAACACAGTGAAACGTACTGGACCACGATTGTTGTTGATTCCAGTACAGCAGGGTTCTCCTACGCTTAGACCTGTCCCAAACCCACAACTTCAGGGACATCGGATGGTCTTGCAGCCTGTAAGGAGTCCAAGTGGAATGAACCTGTTCAGGCATCCCAATGGGCAGATTGTCCAGCTCCTGCCTTTGCATCAGATTCGAGGCTCTAATACCCAGCCCAGTTTACAGCCTGTCATGTTTCGGAACCCAGGTATAAAGTTAGAGATCTTTCTAATGAATTTTTCTTTCGGTAAATCAGTTGGCTATATGATTTATTACTACACCGGGATTATTCTTAATCTCTTAGAGTCACATGTCCAAAAAAGAAAAACACCAGTGAATTATTGAGATGGGCAGTCATGATTTAAATTTTCTTTTTCTTTCTTTCAGGGTCTGTGATGGGAATCCGGTTACCTGCTCCTTCCAAACCTTCTGAGACTCCACCAACTTCCAGTTCATCCTCTGCTTTCTCTGTTATGAATCCTGTAATTCAGGCTGTTGGGTCTTCTCCAGCAGTGAATGTTATCACTCAAGCACCATCATTGCTTTCCTCTGGACCTAGTTTTGTCTCTCAGGCTGGCACATTGACCCTGAGGATTTCTCCTCCTGAACCACAAAGTTTTGCAAGTAAATCAGGCTCTGAAACCAAAATTACCTATAGCTCAGGAGGGCAGCCTGTTGGTACAGCCAGTCTTATTCCTCTCCAGTCTGGTAGTTTTGCCTTGTTACAGCTCCCAGGACAAAAGCCTGTTCCTAGCTCCATTCTTCAGCATGTTGCTTCCCTTCAAATGAAGAAGGAATTCCAGAATATAGATCAAAAAGATGAAATGAACTCTATAAAAAAAGAGAAGGAAACTAGGAAAACTCTACAGTCAGAAGGAGAAGGTACAGACCCAGAGGCTAATAAACAAAATTCAGGAACTATTGCCTCAGAGGAAACTCTGAATATTTCCTTGGAAGATGGGGGTGATCGTTTGGATGAAGATTCTCTTACAGAAGAAGGTCCCACAACTGTCAAACCTTCTAAACTCTCCTATATCACTGGGTCACACACAGATGAAGACTATAAAAATATTAATGAAGAGAGTGGGACTAGAAATCATAGTAGTTCTAAAGAAAAACTGTCTCTTCTAGAAGTTAGGACGATTTCTGAAAAAGCCAATATTATGACAGTACAAAATGTAAATAAAGTACAGCTACAGAACTGTGCTGTGAAGGTGGAACAGCAGAAGGGATTCGACAATCCAGAGGAAAAACTAAATGAGTTTCCAGTCATCTCTAAGGAAGAAAGTAAACTTGAATTGTCAGGGAGCAAAATTACTATGGAGCAGCAGTCTAATCCACGGGCCAAGGAGAAGGAATGTGGAGACTCTAGGGAGAAGGACAGTATTAGGGAAAAATGGAGAAAACACCTGAAGGGCCCTTTGACCCGGAATTATGTGGGAACTTTGCAAGAATGTAAGGAGGAGACAGATGAGTTGTTAATTAGAGAAGCAAAGCCATGTCAAGAAAATTCCGATGTATTTCAAGAACGGGGGATCTCTGACTTACTTGGAAAAAGTGAAACTACTGGGAATGCCAGAGTTTTAAAAACTGAATGTGATTCTTGGAGTATGATTTCTAATCCTGCAGCCTTCTCCATTGTTCCTAGGAGAGCTACAAAAGGAAGCAAAGGGAATGGACACTTTCAGGGTCACTTATTGCTACCAGGAGAACAGATACAACCAAAGCAAGAGAAGAAGGGTGGGAGAAAAAGTACTGGCTTTACTGTTTTGGATTTGGAAGAAGAGGATGAAGAAGATGAGAATGAGAAAACCGATGATTCTATTGATGAAATTGTGGATGTTGTTTCTGACTACCAGAGTGAGGATGTTGATGATGTAGAAAAGGTGGTGAGCCCATTTTTGTTGTGACTGAAACCTCAAGGATTTAAATGATTTATTAGAGACAGTAGCTTTTCCAGAAGATCAGTAAGACCTAAAACATTCATTTGGATGCCTAGGTTTAGATCATTATTAACAGCCCTGTAGCTTTTAGGATGTATCAGACAGGCAACATTTATTGGGCTTATCCTTTGACATTTGTCTGTTTTTTATGGTAAGGTAGCTTGAACTTTTGGGGTATAGATGCTTGAGAATCCCTAGTAGCTTTAAAAGGAATGTTTTGAAACCACTACACCCATTTGATCTCCGTAGTTTCTTTGACATTTGCTACATGGAGTGATTCTAATTTATCTGTTAGATATAATATATAAGAAACAGAATGAATGGGTGACCTTTGAACTGGAGGATAACCCTGTCTGCTTGCATTTAGAGTGAAGTTTTTGTTTTAGAGAAAAACTGAAAAATACCATCTAATATTTTTAACGTAATTCTGCCTTAAATTGCATTTTAATTATCATCTGAATACTTAGTTTCCAGAATTTATATTTTAGACTTTAATTATAATCCTTTGTAATATGACTTTTATAATTGATTATTAAAAATTTCCTGAAGCATTTTTATAGGCCTCCTACTTAGGGGTGTATTAACTGAACTAAGTAATTGTGAGTCAGGTGTGATACAAAGCAGGAGTTAGAAAAGCTTTTTCTGTGAAGAGCCAGATAGTAAATATTTTAGATTTTGCAGGCTGGTTGGCTCAGCTGCTGTTGTGTGGTAGCAGCCACAAACAATACATATGTTAATGACTGTGGCTTTGTTCCAGTAAGTCAGGCTTTGATTTGCCAAATTCTGATACAGGGTCTGATTTAAGCATGAGACCATAGGGGTGCCCTGAAATTTAAACAATCTCCCTCTTTTTGGGAGCTGATGACATAGCCCTCTGTACCGATTATCATGTGGTTGATTGTTTCAGAATCTCACTTCCTTAAGATTCATTCAGCTCCTGAATTGTTTGGTCTTACTTTGTTAATCCCTAATGACCTTATGCAGATAAAATATAACAAAAAGGTTAGTATTTTAAAACTCTAAAATGTTTAAATATTTTAATGTTCCTGGTTCATTATTTTTGAACCTCAGTTGTCTGATTTATAAGTGAGGATCTAGCTCTAAAATTGAATGATTCTATATGCATTTGCCTTATAATTTTCTATGTAATCCTTTTCAAGGTTATATATCTAGAAATCTGAATTAATTGAGTTTAAAAGTTATATTGCAGATCTTACAGTGCTTTTTGTGATCTCCTGTTATAGTCAATTCAGAGAAAAATCAGACCAAAAAATAGTTCAACTTTAAAACTATTGCTAGTTGCAGAATTGATTTTAATCGAGTCAGTTCTTTAGAGTGCCATAATTGCAAGGAGATACTGCTTGAAGGTGCAAGTTGGGAATTTCATAGATAATTTACACAGATTTTTTAAAAAGTAAGAACAGTATTTTAAATGATCTCCAAAATCTAAATTCTATATAATTTTTATGTACATGCCCCATGCTTAAGTTATCTTTATACTTGTTATTAGAATTAGATTGAAATGCTGTGAGCAAAGCTCTGAATAGCCACTTTAATGAAGTACTGGGTACTTTTTTTGGGGAAAGTCTACAGTTGAAACTATGCCGTAGGCAGACATTCTTCAGTCTAAATATCACAAAGCATATATACCTGTAATACTAACTAAAAATTCTGTTGGGATGCTGTTGATTTTGCTTCCTAGAATTAATGTTTATATATACACTGTTTAATGTATATTGTTTAAGTTGTACTTGAATTGGGGTGGGAACAAAAGATAGTTTGTATTTAGTGTCTATTGATCTTACAAAACTTATAATTTGGGGGTAAGTAATTTTTCCAAAAAGTCTATAAACATACAGAGGTGGTTGGGCTGTTATCTCTCTCTGATACAGTGTGAGTATATATAAGAGATAATGTATTTCTTATTTAGTTTGTGGCATAGTAAACACTACTTTTAAAGGTTGGACTTAAAAATATCTGCTTGTCCTATATATTCATATAACTTTAGTGTTATAAACAGTGAATTTTTATGATAGATGCATATTGGTAAATGCTTACTTGATTGACTTCTTTGGTATAAGGAACCACAACAATCCTGGATTTCTTTTGAAATCTGAAATTCCTTAAGAGTTCTCATTCTGTGGGGTTGAGAGACTTTGAATATTGTCTGGGTTGTATTCTGTACCATATCTGCCTTGTGTGTGTTGATTTATTGGCATCTGATATGGTGTTAGTCATGAAACCTACTTAGGAAAGTTCTCCTCCTCCTCCTTCATCCTTCTTTTTTCTCATTCTTTTTCCTCTTCATCCTCCAGGCCTCTTCTCTCCTTTTTCCTCCTCATTGGAACCCAGGGCCTCGCGCATGCTATTCAGTGTTCTACCACTGAGCTATACCCCCAATTCCCAAATAGAATTTTGTTCTTTCCAGATTCCTCCTTTCCAAATTTTATTTCACTGGCGTTTGATCTTAAGATTTAGGAAACCATAGCCAGGCACAGTGGTACTACTGTAACCCCAGCTACTCAGGAAGCTGAGGCAGAAGGATCACAAGTTTAAGGTCAGCCTTGGCGACATAGTAGATCCTATCTTAAGAAGGGCTGGGGATGTATCATAGTGATAGAGTGTCCTGGGGTTCAACCCTCAGCACTCCTACCCACCAAAAAAAAGGCAAGGGGGTGGATTTGGGAAAGCCTTAATGAAGCCATACCTGAATTTTATTCTCTAGAGGTAACATTGAAGCATTAATGCATCCCATTGGGAACTCTCTGTAGCTTCAGAATTAATGATGTCTGTTTAATATATATCTGTGAGTTTTGTAGTTCTTGGTGGTTAACTCTAATCATATGTTGTCTGACTTATTTCTTTTTTTTATGATTAACAAGTTTACAATTGTCAAATACTCCAGTGTTAAGATCAGTATTTGGTAGTAGTTGATTTTATAAAGTGAGCATGCAGTTGGAAAGTTTAGGTGTGGGTGCACCTCAATACTTTATTTACTGTTGAAATGATGTTTTTCAGAATAACTGTGTAGAATACGTTGAGGATGATGAGGAACAAGTGGACATTGAGACTATAGAAGAGCTCTCAGAGGAAATTAATGTTACCCACAAGAAGACCACTGTAGTTCACACACAGTCATTCAAACAGCCGTAAGTCTTAATTTATCTTTGAGTTATAATTGTTGTTCCTGTTATAATTGTTGTTACTTTGTAATCAGAAAAATCTTGTATGTTCTTTTTAGGACATCTAGGTAACTGACCTGGTTTCTTTATTCTTCTAGCTTTTTTTCTGACTAGTATAGATGAAAAGAGAAGCTGTGATTAGGAGCTGATTCGCTTGCCTTGGTTATTGTTCGGAGGCAGGGTATAAATGTCAATGATAGATGGGTGTTAAAATACTAGTTTTGAAGTGTTGAATAATACATGTAACTAGCATAATAACTGACACAGTGGACTACTCAACAAATGTTATTTATCTTTTAAGAATAAGGCATTAAATTCTAAATTTGTTTATTTTACTAGTCAAACAGGTGAGTTATAGGTATGAAAATTTTCCTGCCTCTTCGGCTGATAAAATAAAAATACGGAGGATATGAGGACTTGCTCAGGAATATTTCCTTTTCTGTTTTAGTAAACTTTTTATTGATTAGGGACTGGGATATGAGAGAGAAGGGAAGGAAGATACGACTTCTTGTTTTCTGCTAGACCTTGTACTTCTCCTGTTACATATGAAGTAGCAATGATCTGAGAAAGTAACTCTTCATCCCTACTGATGCTGAAAAAGTCTGAGGAATAGAAGGTAGGACTAGTAATTATCTTTACACCAGAACTATTTGCAGGCTACTTCAGTTACCTACTGGTTAAGCATGAAAGAGTTTTGAGTCTCTTAACTGAATTAGACTTAATAAGCTAAACAGTATTGTTGAATTAATAAAGCCTGTTTTAAAACTGAGTTCTTAAACAGTAACAACAAACAAAATCTAAAACATACCATTTACATGAGTAACAGGAAAAAGAAAGTTTCCTTGGAATATATCTAATAAAAGCTGTGTAAGACCTTTATAAAATCATACTAAAAGATTTTAAATAGTAATTCAGTCAATAGTGAGAAACCATATTAGTGGGTTAGAATAACAAAGGACCAAGCATAACCAATACAGAAAGAGCACAAACTATAAAAGAATAGATTGAAACTAAAGATTTAAGAGCCATGTTTAGTGTTCCTGAGGCTCTGAGTTCAGTCCCCAACCCTGCCCCCCACCTCAAAAAAAAAAAAAAAAGATTTAATTTTTAAGTCTAATTAAATGTAAAACTTTAGCCGGGCACAGTGACATTGGAGGCTAAAGCAGGAGGATGGAGAATTCAAAGCCAGCCTCAGCAATTTATGAGGCTCTAAGCAACTCAGTGAGACCCTGTCTCTAAATAAAAACAGAAGGCTGGGCCTCAGTTATAAAGTGCCTCTGGGTTCAATCCCTGGTACTCCCCCCCCCCCCCACAAAAAAAAACCCTCAAAATTCTCATTGAAAACAATGAGAAGGCAAGCTTAGTCTATAAGTATTTGTAGTACATAAAACTGACAAAGGGTTATTAGTATTAGGATATTAAAAATTTGTTACCAGTCTATTAGAAAAAGATAATTCAGGGCTGGAGGTGTGGTTCAGTGGCACACTACTTGCCTAGCAGGGCCCTGGGTTTGATCTCCAGCACTGGGCAAAAACAAAATATGATTCAATAGGAAAATATGGATATCACAAGCTGAAAGCTTACAGAAGAGGAAACCTAAAAGGCCAGTAAGCATGTACAGATTTGTTCATCTTCACAAGACATTAGGGAAATGCAAATTAAACTACAGTAACTGTATCAATTCATACTCTTAAGTGTGTCAAAAATAGAAATTTATAATAGTACCATATAAGTGTGGAGCAATGGGAACTCATAAAATTGTTATGACCACTATGAGGTGCAGTTTAACATCTACTAAAGTTGAAGATGTGCATACCTCTTTCTTGAACCTAGTAATTCCACTCTTATGTTACCATACAACAGCTTACAACATGTATACAAGGAATCATTTTTTACTGTTGTGAAGATTTAGAAGTGACCTAATAACAATATAAAAACTACTAATATTCTTAAAATATTTTTTGGTGGGCAGCGGGGATTCACACTATGGAATACTGTACCGCTAGTTGAAATAATCAGATTAGAACTATGTATACAACATCTCAGGTGTAATGATGAAACAACTCAGTTGCAGAAAGATACAATATACTATTTAAAATGATACATAAATTTTTTTGTTTAGAAATGGACATTCCTAAGAAAATTGAAGAAACACATTGAAACTCAATTCAGGAGTATTTACCTATGAGAAGGATGGAATGGAGTGTGATTGAATAGTCTGCATTTGGGGGTTGGTTTTGTTTTTTTATGGTACTGGGGATTGGCCACTGAACTACATCCCCCTTTTTTATTTTTTTAAATTTTGCGATGGGTTGTTGCTAAGTTTGCTGAGTATAGTCTCAAATTTGTGATCTTGCGTCATTTCCCAAGTTACTGGGATTATAGGCATCTCATCGTACACAGGCTTTTCTTAGAGGAAAAAAAAAACAACTATGCTGTTGAATAAATAATATGGCCCCTACCACACCTTGGGGAAAATAAATTGGTTGTAATTTAGGCAATTTAGGGTGGTGTGCTTTAATATAGTTGTTAAATAGGTCTTAGATTGTTGAATTTCAATAAGGCATTGAAAAATACTATATTTATCTAGGTGCCGTACCCATATCTCTGCTGATGAAAAAGCTGCTGAAAGGAGTCGAAAGGTATTTAGAACATATTTAATGATAATTACTCATTTAATAAAATTGGTAATGTTTATGTTAGAGTTGAAATAATATTAGCTATATTAACTGAGATTTTTTTCAAGGATGTTTTTCTCAAGAAGTTCATATAATCAACTTGTCCCCCCTTAACAAAATTGTACTGTTAATGTGCTTTTCTCCCTTTTAGTTCTACGTCCCCCAGAGAGGGAATAATTGAGTTCAAATGGGTATGAAGCCTATGAAAATTTATTTGCTTATTTGAAAACTAATTGTATATTGTAATGGTTTGATGTGAAACAAGCTGGCATTCTTACTTGTAAGCCTAGGCTTGTACTTTTCAGTGGTCCAAATTGAGCCATGAAATTATAAACTACTTTTAATTTTTTAAATGTACCATGTTACTGTGTTTTTATTTAAGAGATAAAGGCAGTGATGGGGATTAGGTTGAGGTGGAGGGTGGCATTTCATTTCAAATCCTCTCAAAAACCCTGCATTATGATTGTTTGGCTATTTGAGGATCATAGGAAACATGTGCATGGTTGTAATCATTTTTCATAAATATCACTATATTTGGTTATTTTTGTTTATTCTAAAACATATTTAGATGGCAGAGCTTTCATAATAGCTTATTTACATAATCTTTTGTTTTATACCCAAATTATTACAAGCAAGTACTTGCAGTGCTTTCCTTTATTTAAATTTGTTCTATCTTATTGCATTTTTTATTCTCCCATACTATGTTAATGTACAGAGGGTTCAACTTTAGGAAAAAAAAAGTCTTTACCTTAAAAGTTTTTGGGCACTGTAAAGGTAATGATGATAACAGACAGTATCAGGAAAGATAATTAACAGCCTCAGAAGGGGAATAAAAACAAAGCTGTGTAAGATAGGAAATGTAATTATTCATTAATATTAATATTCATGAATATTTATAGTGTCAGAATAGTATAAACACCCTCAGTGATTTTTTTTAAAGAATTTGTATTACTGAGTAAAATATTAAAAACCTAATTTTATTCTTGAAAAATGTCTAAATACATATCACAGATTGTGCAGTGAAAGGGAAGAAAAAAGAGAAGGATATAGATACCAATACCCTCATTTTACAAAGTGGAAAGTCAAAATAATCTATTTATTGTTATAAAACAAGAAATTAAGAACTATATATTCAAGTTGCTAAGGGATCTAGTGAAGAACTAAAATGAGTGATATAGCTATAATAGAAAAATAGAGTGGCAAAGATATAAAAATGATGTGAGTTAAATTCTTTTCTGCATAGCAAGTAGTCAATAGACAACATGAAAACATATAAGTTCTTCATGTATTTTTAACCTTACATTTATGTATAACTTGTTCATAAGAAGTAAATAATATTTAAAATTGAAATAGAATAAAAAAGAATAAAGGAAGCCTAAGGGATACTGAGAGTGAAGGCAGACTTTGCTGGGAAAAGTACAATGTTTGAGTTTTAGGTGTTAAATTTTAAGTGCTGTGGAAGATTGGGAAGGACAAAGGGGGGAGGGGCCATCAGGTGTATGCAAAAGGGGAGGTGTAGGATTGCCTTGTGTGTTTTGGAATTTCTAACAGTTAGGAATGGCTGGAGAAAAAGGTGATTTAGAAGAGTGGAAGTTGTTCCATTATGGAGCTGTGAAACATCTTACAGTATTTTTTTAAAAAAAAATTCTTTTAAAATAATTTTTCCACTAATCAAGATATTTTTTCATATAATTTGTATCATGAAAATTAGTTTTGATAATAATAAATTATATAAGTAAGCTTTACAAAAGATCCCATGTTCCAGACCAGATATGGTGGTGCATGCCTATAATTCCAGTAACTTGGGAAGCTGAGGCAGGAGGATTGCAAGGTCAGTCTCAGGAAATTAGCGAGGCCCCAAGAACTTAGCAAGACCCTGTCTCAAAATAAAAACATTAAAGGGGGGCGCTGTGGATGTGGCTCAGTGGTTTAGTGACCCTGGGTTTAATCCCTGATAGCAAAACTAACCTCAACAATAAAAGATGCCATGTTCCCTCTTGCTCACATATTTTTCCTCATTTGAGAACCACTGAAATTGAGTTGGAAATTGATATGATTATATTAGCTTGTATTTGAATTTATACTGTTGACATTGTTGAAATTAGATTTGGAGGAAGGATAGAGTGGTATTAAGATGAGCAATCAAGAAGCTGTTATAACAATCCAGGCAGAAGATGATGGGTACCTGAGATAGAGCAGTGCTATTTGGGATAGTGGTAGAGGGCAGGTACATGTGAAAGATGTTGAGGAGGCAATCTCATTTGGACAGGCTCCACAAATTCCTTTAAAACTGAAATCTGATTACTGGAATGACAAACTACAGAAAGAAGCAGAAGCTTTTGCCTATTATCGCCGGACACACACTGCCAATGAGCGGCGGCGACGTGGTGAAATGAGAGATCTCTTTGAAAAATTGAAGATTACATTGGGATTGCTTCATTCTTCCAAGGTTTCCAAAAGTCTCATTCTTACGCGGGTAAGTGTGTGTCCAAGAGAACCTTATAGATAATATGGGAAAGGGGACCTATTGCCATGTGATGAAAATTGAAATAGAGCTACTTTAACAACTGAATGTGTACTAGCAAATGTTCAGTAAATTTCTTAGAGGGGGAAATTGTTAAATTGAGTCAGAGTAGGTTTTTATTGAAAGCTAATTTAACTAACAGAGTTATCTTCTTTTAATAAAATCAGAAACTCTAGGTAACTCTGTTTACCACATTCTTTTTACATTGTTCCTACTAGTACTTAGAAGAGTTTGTCACAGTATAAAGCATAGCATAAGTGATATATTCTTTTAATTGTAGATGGACACAGTGCCTTTTTATTATTTGTTTTTATGTGGTACTGAGGATCTAACCCAGTGCCTCTCACATGTGCTAGGCAAGTGCTCTATCACTGAGCTACAACCCCTGCCCATAAGTGATATTTTAACATACTTCATAACAGTTGACATTTTAAAAGAAAATCTGAAATATTCACACTAGGAGAAGTTTTAACTTTGCACATAGAATAGCTAGGGTAGTTTTGTTTAAATTGCTTTTAAGTAGAAGTTGGAGATATAGCTGGGCATGGTGGCACATACTTGTTATCCCAGCATCTAGGGAGGATGGGGTAGTTCAAAGCCAGCCTCAGCAACTTAGTAAGACCTTGTCTCAAAACATAAAAAGGGCTGGGAGTGTGGCTCAGTTGTTTTAAGTGCCCCTGGTTTCAGTCCCTGGTACAAAAAAAAAGTTGTTGAGAAATAATAAGGTAAGCATTCATATACCTCTAGCACAGTGTTCTTTCAACCAAATGTATGCTAGAAGATTAAAGTTGATTAAAATCTAAACTGAACGTGAATATTTTATATCTCTCTTCATGAAATAGTAGAGCACCTGTTACTCAGTGATATTTTCTTTGAAAATAATCATTATCTACATTCCCTGAAAGTATAATCCAGAAAACTCCATGTGGTTTAACCAAAAAAAAAGTTCTTATATATAAATAGTTGTTTTAAATGGTATTTTAAAGATCTCTAAATTATTAATTTATGATTTTGTCACTAAGAAAGCTGTGTGTGGGAGCATTATGCCTATAATCCCAGTGATGTGGGAGATTAAGGCAAGAGAATCTCAGGTTTGAGGCTAGCTTAGGCAATTTAGGAAGACTCTGTTTTACAATAAAAAATAAAATGGGTTGGGAATATAACTCAGTGGTAGAGCAACCCTGGGTTTAATCCCTAGGGTTTACCCACTCACCCAATTTATTAAAGAAATTTGTTAGCCTTCCTTGTTTTTGGCAAAGAATGGATCAATTGACATAATATTGCTATTTCTTTTCTAGGCATTCAGTGAAATTCAGGGACTTACAGATCAAGCAGACAAATTGATAGGACAGAAAAATCTCCTGACTCGAAAACGAAATATTCTGATACGGAAGGTATCATCTCTTTCAGGTGAGATAAGTAAATGGTCTTTGATAAAGAGCATAGTAACAGCTTTAGCAAGGAGAAATCCTCAGTAGACCTTTCCAGATACTACTTAGTTTAAGGCTTGGTGTTCCCTAAGTTTATATCAGAGTTATCTTTTGACTGGGTGGTCATACTTCTGGATTATAATCACTCTTGCCTTCCATAGTTTTGGGGAATATAGTTAAATCAACTGGATTTCAGTTGACTCTATTTCTCATTATTATGTGGGGTCATTCAGAGAGTGATAATTTATTCCCTATCAACCTGTAGGTAAGACAGAAGAAGTGGTCCTGAAGAAGCTAGAGTATATTTATGCAAAACAGCAAGCACTAGAGGCACAAAAAAGAAAAAAGAAGATGGGATCAGATGAGTTTGATGTGTCTCCCAGAACTAGCAAACAGCAGGAAGGATCTTCTACATCATCTGTAGATCTCGGACAGATGTTTATAAATAACAGGAGGGGGAAACCTTTGATTCTTTCCAGAAAAAGAGACCAGGCCACAGGTAGGAGGGACATTCTTTGCTTTCCTTAATATAGATGAACATCAATCTAATTAGTGGACTGAATGTCTTCTCTTGGCCATAATTTTAGTAAAATAAAAATGAATTATATAAAAAGTTGAATTAACATTAGATTTTTATTTCCACCTTTACACACTCAAGCAACTCTTGAGAAGCTAACCAGTTATGATTAACATGTTGATCCTAATTCTGATGGTAGTCTATAGTTAGATGTTTTTAGTAAATGCCAATTTTTCAAACTTTATATATATATAATATATTCTCCCACCCCCACCCCTACCCCTCCTGGCAATTCTGCCAATGGGTTGAGAAAACTTGGGTCTGAGACAAATTGGGGTTTTTTTTTTTTTTTTTTTTTTAATTTAATTTTGAGCTGGACATGATGATGTGACCTACTTGGGAGACTTAGGTTAGGAGAATTGTTTGAGCCTAGGAGTTTAGGTCTGGGCAACATAGTGTGAGACCTTGTTTCTTTTTAAAATAAATAAATAAATAATAAGTTTGTTGAATAGACTCTGGTTCTCATCAGATCTATTAAGGAATAAGGTAAATTGGTTTTAAGTTCTTTCTATTTGATTCTGAGAGTTAGGCTATACTGATTTTATATTATTTGTTTTTATCCTTAAAAGAAACATATATCTTTTTTTTACTCGGGCTAGCCCAGTGTACAAACCAGAAAATATAGCTTAGTTTATTAAAACCAGATGGATACTAAAATACAAGTTAGTTTTAACATTGCCAAATCCAATGACATTATCATCAAGAAAGGAATTTGATAGTATTATCTCATTTCACAGTGGGAAAAACTGAGGCCTGGAAACTTGAAATCCTTTATTAGAAGTGGATAGGAAAGGAAACCTAGGGATAAAATTTTTCTTCATCCTGACTGTCTAGTCCGTCAAAAGCATTCCATTGAAAAACTGCTTCCCTACCTCTGTTCCTCAACAAATCATTTCTTTCCCTTAGGGAGAATCTTTGAACAGGTAACCATTACTCAGTGAAAAGTGGTTCAAAAAAGCAAGCTCTGCTAGTTTAGTTTTACTAAATTGAAATTTACTTCTTGTTTTTCAAGTCAGAGTTTGGTTTTGGGAATGCCTCCTAGACTCCTGGACTACAAAATTGAACATATTTTATCCATAACTAATTTCTAATCTTCCTTACAGAAAACATCTCATCCTCTAATACTCCACACACTTCTGCCAACCTCGTGATGACCCCACAAGGACAAGTGCTCACTTTAAAAGGTCCCCTATTCTCAGGACCAGTAGTAACTGTTCCTCCTGCTCTCTTAGAAACTGATCTGAAGCCTCAAGTTGCAGGCAGTACTGTAGCTCAATCAGGTATGTCATGTTGACTTTATGGTTAGTGGAAAAAAGTTCTCGCTGGTGTCTTACAGTGACAGAGGTAGCCCTTGGTTGCATTCTCTAATGATAAAAAGCTGTTCTGTTGGCAATGCCTTGGTGAGAGATAACATGTTTAACTTGGTCTTGTGGCACTGATTAGTGTATTTTACGTGGGATTGGGGACTATTTTGTGAACTCTATTTTTTTCCCAAGTAGAAGAATAAAAAAAGATGTCAAAGTGAAAGGAATATGTTGAAAAGTCATTATCTTAATTTTTGGTGTTAATAAATATTTATCATAAATTTTTTTGTTATACTCAGAAATCATGCACCTCCCACATTACCAGCCTGTTTCAATTTGAGCACCACTCCTTTTGGGGGTAAAGGGTTAAAAAGAACGTGTCATTTTGATGATTTAGGTTTCAGGCACCAAAATTTCTGTTAAAAAAAGGGTAAAGGGGATCCTCATCAACATTAAAATCCTAGTTACTTTGTTGCCATTGCTAACAATAATTCCTTGTCTATACTACTACATCCACTCTGGAGGACTCCTCTGTTTCTTTTGCTGTGCTCCTTCTAGGCTTTCATTTTACCTTCAAAGTAACAGCTAATTGGGTGAATCAAGATGCATTTCTGTCTTAGGATGAGAAGTAACTCGGCGGGGAGCTTTTCTAAAAAATGATTCAATTGAACTTTTTATTAATAATGGAATACTAGAGGGTCTTTTGGTTGTATTTTATTTATTTATTTATTTATTTATTTATTTTTTTTGTTGTATTTTATTTGACTTATTATATTTCTTTCTTCTTGACAAAAGTAGACTGGTGAATTTTAACAATTCCCTAAGGTGTATGATTGGTGAGGAGTGGATGGGACAATTACTACTGTAGATCTAAGTGAAGTTTTCCCTTTTTTTTCCAAATTTTTGTTTTTCAGAAAATGATGACTTATTTATGATGCCACGGATTGTTAATGTGACATCCTTGGCCACAGATGGAGGCGTGGTAGATATGGGTGGCAACAAATATCCACATGAACGTACTGATGGGAAGCCACTTGACCACCTGAAAGACACTGTCAGAAATGAAGATACCTCCTTAAAAGAATTGGATAGAATCTCTTCCAGAGGAAGCCATAGAGATGGCAGAATGGCATTGGGTCCAGCACAAGTTTTTCTGGCAAATAAAGATTCTGGTTTTCCACAAATCATTGATGTTTCCAGTATGCAGGAAGCACAGGAGTTCTTACCTAAAAAGATTACTGGTGATATGAGAGGGATTCGGTATAAATGGAAAGAGGGTGAATCAAGAGGGGAGAGACTAAAGTCTAAGGAATCTCCATTTCATAAATTAAAGATGAAAGATCTCAAAGACTCAAGCATAGAAATGGAATTGAGGAAAGTAGCATCGGCCATTGAGGAAGCAGCTCTTGATCCCAGTGAACTGCTAACTAGCATGGAAGATGAGGATGATACTGATGAGACACTGACTTCACTGCTCAATGAGATTGCCTTTCTTAATCAGCAACTAAATGATGACTCTGTTAGCCTGGCTGAACTGCCTAGCTCTATGGATACGGAGTTCTCAGAGGATGCTCGGCAGGCCTTTATCACTAAGCTGCCCCCCGGGAACAGAGCAACTTTCCAGGTTGGCCACTTGGGAACAGACTTGAAAGAGTTGTCTGATGATATTCAAAGGGAGAGTGACTCCATCAGCCCCCTCCTCTTGCACTTGGAAGATGATGACTTTTCTGAGAATGAAAAACAACTTGTGGAAACAGCTTCTGAGCCAGATGTCCTTAAGATTGTTATTGACTCTGAGATAAAGGATTCCCTTCCTTCCCACAGGAAATCTAGTGATGGAGGGAAGAGTACATCTGGCCTCCCTACAGAGCCTGAAAGTGTGTCCTCACCGCCCATCCTACACATGAAGACTGGTCTAGAGAACAGCAACACAGATACTTTGTGGAGGCCTATGCCAAAGTTGGCACCTTTAGGTTTAAAAGTAGCTAATCCTCCTACTGATGCAGATGGTCAGAGTCTGAAGGTGATGCCTTGTTTGGCACCTGTAGCTGCCAAAGTTGGGTCAATTGGACACAAAATGAACTTAACAGGGAATGACCAGGAAGGCCGGGATAGCAAGGTGATGCCTACATTGGCACCTATTATGGCTAAATTGGGCAATCCTGGGGTCTCACCAGGTTCTGCAGGGAAATGAACTTTTTGTCCTCAGGCTGTGAGGGGAAATTGAATCTCAACTCCTTTCTCTGCAGACATCTGTTTATTTGTGTCATGGAACTATGCTCCTTGATTGGCTGTGATGGTATATATGGTGGATAATAATGGAGAAAGGGGGTAGGGGTGCTGGCCTTGGTATAAGAAATACTATGAAATTCTGATCATGTTAAAATGTGTTACCTCACTTGTGGTGCTGGGTCCCCTCATCCTAAAATGTGATCCATTATTGAACACGAGGTGCCCCTCTTACCCAAGGCATTGATAACAAGACTGGCTCCATAGTGGTACCTAGTTCTCTCCCCAGAGAGAAAAAGCTGCTTGAGACTTTGGAATTGCTATGGACTGAACTGTAGTTGATACCAATTAGATTGTCTAAAATCTAAGGAATGTGATACACTTGTGCAAAGGAATTCAGAAGAGAGTTTTTAGTTGGCCTTTTAATAATAGGGAAAGATAGGTACCATGAAATACCAAAGTGAAGGATTTTATGTGACTCAGCAAAATCGTTTCTTTCATATCCCAACTAGCTTTCATTCCCTCACCTTTTCAATCAGAATTAACAAATTTAAGCCTTCTGGTAAAGTAGGGATGAATTTAACTTTTACTATTAAGGTAATTATTTTGAGATGTTAAAGTGCTCCCTTATTGTCTTTGTAGGTATTAAAAAAATTATTTCATAGTGCCAGAGATTTCTGGAATATGTATTTTGGAGGTAGACATGGAGGGAGCCCTTCCCCATTCACAAATCATATCACTCTAGACAGCTAATGTGAAAAGCATTCTCTGTCCAGACCAAGACAGTAGCCAAAATTAAACAAAAAAAAAAAGAAAAAAAAAGAAAAAAAAAATGGGGCTGGAAATTTCCTAAATTAGCCTCCTGGTGCTTGAAGGTTTCATTCACTGTTACCTG